TCATCAGCTAACTCACAGGCTTCATCGCCAGAATTAAAATCATCATCAACTACATCTTTAATAAAATCAACAAAACGATCCTCATCACCTTCACCATCCTCATCAATCGCACTATTGTCATCATCTTTAACACTATCATCTACATCATCTTCATCACCAACATTATCATCATCATCATCAAAAACATATTCAATACTATCATCCACAACATCCTCATCAGTCCCACTATCATCATTATCATCAATCTCACAAGCACAGCCCTCAATATCAACAACCTCTACATTATCTTCCACATCCTTACCATCATCAGCAAACTCGCAGCCTTCATCACCATCCCCACCAACATTAACATCATCAACTACATCTTCAATACTATCATTTACACCATCATTTGCACCATCTTCATCAGTCCCACAATCATCATCATCTTCACCATCTTCGTCAATACCACTATCATCATTATCAACCCAACCATCACAGCCCTCATTTTCAGGAACCTCTACATTATCTTTCTCATCCGTACAATCATCAACAAACACACAGCCTAACTCACCATCCCCACTATCTTCATCACCAACATTAATATCAGCATCAACAACATATTCAACACTATCATCTACACCGTCATCATCACCGTCACCATCATCTTCAGCACCACTATCATTGCCATCATCATCAACCCTTCCAGCACCGCCCTCACTATCAAAAACCTCTGCAGCATTTTCCTCATCCTTATCCTCATCAGCTAGCTCACAGGCTTCATCGCCAGAATTAAAATCATCATCAACTACATCTTTAATGCAATCAACAAAACGATCCTCATCATCTTCACCATCCTCATCAATCCCAATATTGTCATCATCTTTAACACTATCATCCACATCATCTTCATCACCATCTTCATCATCTTCACCATCTTCGTCAATACCACTATCATCATTATCAACCCCACCATCACAGCCCTCATTTTCAGGAACCTCTACATTATCCTTCTCATCCGTACAATCATCAACAAACTCACAGCCTAACTCACCATCCCCACTATCTTCATCACCAACATTAACATCAGCATCAACAACATATTCAACACTATCATCTACACTGTCATCATCACCACCACTATCATTGCCATCATCATCAAACCTTCCAGCACAGCCCTCACTATCAAAAACCTCTGCAGCATTTTC